TTTCATGGCACAATGCGCCAACAGTTCAAAAGGGGCTTTTTGAAAACCTCTGAGGACAGTCCATAGATTCCATAAAGGAAACTTCACTCTGCGCAGCCCTCTTTCTGGAAACTGACAACAGGAATCGTCTGCTTAAGGAAACCTCCCCCAATCGTATTTCTAGAATATTGGAGAGGGCCGCTACCTGCACCCTGAGAGTACTTGCGGCTAAGCTGATGCCAGCCCCGTCCTGCAAGTACTCAAGAACAGAATTAATCACAGGGATTCTGGTTTGGTTCTTATCCTTTCTCCATGCGAAGAATCTTTTCCAGATTTTCCCATAAATAGCATTAGTAGAGTTCTTTCTACCTGCCAGAATGGTATCTATTACTCTGGGCAAGAGTCCTTTCTTTTGCAAGAGCTCCCTTTCAGTAGCCTCCCTTTCAGTCTCTCTGTTGGGTAGTGTATTCCCGCCTTATGAAGAAGGTCTGACCTTTGCGGTAACCTCCACGAAGGCTCCAAGTTCAGACTGTATAGGCCCGAGAAGCAAGGTTTCTTGGGCCAGAAAGGTGCCACCAGGACAATATTGGCATTTGACCTTGGTATCTTTTGGATTACCCTGGGGATTAAAAGGATGGGAGGAAAGGCATATAGACGTTTCCAGTTCCATTGATGAGCCAGAGCATCTCTTTCCTGACTGCAACTGTCCCTTTGTAGGGAGAAAGATCTTTCTACTTTTTTGTCGTTTCTGTAGGTGAAGAGGTCGATCTCTGGCATGCCCCATTTCTCGCATATCTGTAGAAAGATCTCTTGGTTTAAGCACCATTCTGTTTGCCTTATCTGATACCTGCTCAAACTGTCTGCCAGGTGATTCAGTTCCCCTTTCAAATGAATTGCTGTTACTGACAACAGGTTCTTCCCTGCCAAAGGAGGATTTCTTCTGCTGTTGCCATTAGGTTGCTTGATCTTGTACCTCCCTGGCGATTGATATACACAACTGCTGTGCTGTTGTCGGTAAGGATCTGCACATGCTCACCTTGTATCAGAGATTTGAATGTCACTAGAGCTTCCACTATTGATTTTTGCTCCCTGACATTCGAGGAACAGGATGGCCAAGGTTAATCCCATCTCCCTTGTGCAAGATGTTCATCCAGGTGAGCACCCCACCCCCAGGTACTTTCATCCATGGTCATTTTTACAGAGTTCCTTTGTCTCCATGCTTGACCTGTTGTCAAAATCTGCAGGGAGAGCCACTACTTGATGAAATTCTTCACCCACTCTGGGATGCATCTTTGCATCCAGAGATTGCTGAAGGCTGTCCCTCTTTGACAGTGTAGTTCTGTAAGGGTCTTGAGTGTAACTAGGCCCATAGCTCTGCAGGTATTGCCGCTTTCAACCAGCCGATCAGTCTCATGGCTTCTCTTATTGAGCATTCTGTTGATAGCAAGAACTCCACTACCCCTGCTGAAGGTTCCAAGTCTTCTCCTTTGTCAGGAAAGTGGTTTCCTGCATTCAGAATGTAACCCAGGTAAACCAATCTCTGATGGAATCGACTGAGACTTCCCCACATTTATAATCCAGCCTGTCTCCTGGAGGCAAGCTTTCATTATCTCTAGATTTCTTGTTGTTCAGGCTCCTGTGTCCATGAAGATTGGTCAGGTAAAGAATCACTTTCAGACCTTTCAATCCAGATTCCTCAGGATTTCTGTCAGTACTTTGGTAAACATTTGTGGTGCTGATGAGAGACCACATGGAAGGGTGTTGAACTGAAAGCATGTTATCCCAACGAAACAGATATTTCTTTGATTCTTCCCTGATGGGAATGTGCAGGCAAGCGTCTTTCAAATCTAGGGATACCATAAAGGAGTCCTCCTGGATTAATTTCTTGATCAAATAAATTGACTCCATCCTGAACTTTGTACTGGACAAATTTGTTCACCTGCCTCAGGTTCAGAATCATTCTGAATCTTCCTGAATGTTTCTTCAAGAAGACATGAAAATAGAAACCTTCCCTGTTTTTCTGGCACCAGAGAAATTACATTCTGTAGCATTTCTTGCAGAAGTGTCAGGAGTGTATCTGCTTTGTCTTGCTGTCTGGACAGAGGGGTTGCCAAAAATCTTTGACAGGGGTTTCCTGAGAGTTCTATGCGATATCCGTATCTGATTATGTCTAGAATAAACTGTCACTTTGATCCATTGCGGCAGGAAGGCTTTCAGTCTTCCTCCCACTCCTCCCTGCCAGTCATTGGCACAGAGGTTTGTCCTTCGACTGGGAGGGATTGAACAGAATACCTCCCTTGAAGGTTCAGCTTTTTCTTTTCTCCAGTCATTGCTTGTGCTCTGGATGCCAGTTAACTGGAAGGACAAAAAAAAAAAACCACAAATTCTTCCCTGCTTGTTTCTTTGGCGTTGGGAACCCCTTTTTTTCTATCTGCAGATCTCCAGCACTGAAGCAAGTTCTAATCCAAACAGCAGGTGTCCTTCGAATAGCAGGCTACAGTGCCTGGCTTTGGATGCTTGGTTCCCCTGCCATGTTTTCAACAAGGCAGTAGATCTAGTTAATTTAATAGTTCCTGCTGAAACATCTGCCATGATTGCTACCTCTTTAGATAGCTCTGGGAGAGATTTAAAAATCTGCTCTACCGATGTACCCTTTACCAGGTGGGCCTTTAGCTGGAACAAAATCAAATGTGCAAACCATGCAAGTTGCAGTCAATGCTGGCCTGAAGTTTTCTGCAGAGGCCTCCCATGCTTATTTGAGGTATCCCTCCACCTTGCGGTCCATAGGGTCCTTCAGTGCTCCCCCAGGTCAGATTTCTTGCATACCTTGGCCAAGTATGAGTCCAGCCAGGGGCATTTCTCCCACAAGTCAGAGTCCTCCTTAAATGAGAATCTAATTTCCCATTTGTTTGGTAGAAAAGGCTCCCTTTTCCAGTTCCCACCCTTCCCTTAAAATGGCTTCCCTTAAGTGTAGAATGTACTGGGAAATTGCAGATTTGCTTTTTGTGAAGCGCTGCATGAAGTTGCTTGTGGAGTGTGAGCATCTTTTCCTCAAACGTGTCATGATTAGCCTTTAACAGCTGTGTTCGTTTGCATCAGTGATCTGATGAGTCCTGTTCCTCCCTTACTTTATCCAAGCTAGGAATAGTGCAGATAACCCTGCACTAGAGAAGCGAAGTATTGCAGCACCATGGGCTGACTCATTCAGAAGGGTTCTGAAAGCAAAGTACCAATTTGTGTTTGAGACTCCCCATGAAATCTTTCAATATGGTGCTGGATTTTCACCAATTTGTCTACACACAGTGGCTTCTCCCAAGAACTGGACATTTTCTTTTTACCTGACGTAGTTTCTTGGATGATTCACCTGAAGACTGCTCTGTCTCCTACTGGGGGGTTTCTCTAAAAAAGCCAGGAAAAAACAAAAAAAAAACCCATCCAGCATTAGGAGTGATGTTCAGAAAGATGTGTGCAGCACCCCAAGGTAGCATAGCCTGCTGGAACCTTACACCAGAGCCTTGTCATTTGTGCCCCTGCCCAAGAGAAAAGCTCCCCTTTCCCACCTAGTGCTCCCTCCACCATCGGGGGGGGGGGGGGGGGGGGAGGCAGAAGTATAAAGGAGGCACTCCATGCTTCCTACCTTAGTGCATGCCTCCCTGGTTTCTGCCAGAACTGACTCCATGCTGGCTTCTGGCCACAGCAGACCCGCCCCCCCCCCCCCCCCACTTTAAAGGCAGGGCAGTAGAGACTCCACCACAGCATCCACCGTGGTCCTCTAGTGCTGCAGATCTGGCAATGGCGATCCCACCAGAAAGATGTCAGCCCTAGTCTTCTGCTGGAAGGGATGCCAGCAATTTCACTGCCACAACTGGAGTCATCACCTTGCACCGGAAATTACTTACACTCCACCCCCCTGGCTGCCATGACCAAGATGGAAGCTGCCCTCACTCACCAGGATACCGTGCCAATGGAGGTGGGAGAGTTCCCTGACCCCACAAACTGCAGGACTGGCACCTTCACTCTCTCCTGAGGTACATGCCTGATTTGCAATGGAGAGGGAGGGGTACCCCAATCCAGTTGCCTAATCTGCCACAACCCCAAGCACCCTTGTGCCCACACTGGACAGGTGCAATCTAAGCGGGCCCCTAGCACGAAGGTCTGGAAGGATGAAGCTGCAAACATGTCCTGTCCAGCCTGAGGAAACCTGAACTGAAGGGCCATCACTTGTGCGTCCTAACAATTGTGGATCCTGTTTCCTGTCTAGGTGGGAGGAGCCTATCAAGTAGCTGTCCTGGAAGAGGATTAGTGAAAGCCTATGAGGTTAACAACCCCTTGAAACTAAACAGACCTCCACTCAAGCCGAGACAGGAGACTCTCCCTTCACTCATGCACGAGTCTCCTTTGCGTATATGTCAAAGGAGAGGCATGGTGACAATTTTGCACGTGTTGGGTGTACAGATGACAGGCTGCTCATTTCCCTGCCAGATTGTGCATGTGCACACTTTGCAGGGTCAGCTTTTTGTATTTAAATTTTTGTAATCTGGGTTTACAACTATGTTAATGTTGCACACGTGCTGTACCCATTACATTTAGTATGGCTAAAGTATCTCTTGTGGATCACAGAAGTACTAGTTTTGTCCTCCTGTGACCCAGAATCAGCCGATATCAGGCTACTGCTGAAGTTCACCATTGGGCAGGTAACTGGTCCTCCTGAGACAGAGGGATGTTTCCCCTATACTCCAACCACAGATTGGGTTCAGAGCTGTCAAACCTGGCAGCATATTTGGTACTTTCCAAAAGTGTTTCTGGATTCATTTTCTTCAATCAACTACTCAATCTTGAGCATGTTCACTGGGGTCTCAGGCTTCCTATGAATCCTGCAAGACATATGCCATTCCAAAAAAATGTGGAAGTTCAGATTTCACAGGACTGCACACAATACACAGGAGACAAAAGTGGAATCTCAGCAAGTTTTTTTTTTTTTATTTTAAGTGCCCAAACGAAGTGCAGTGTTGTGTATTTAATTAGATCTTGTTAAAGGCAGCAACATCCATGGACTGTACATAGTCTTCAAATGCTGTGATTTTCTCCTCTAGGACATCTGTGCCAACTTTGTCATCTTCCACAACACACTGGATTTGCAGTTTCTTTATTCCATACCCAACAGGAACAAGCTTGGCTGGTAGGAAGAAAAAAAAAAAAAAAAAAAGTTAAGACTAGGTGAGAAAAGCTACGTTCAGTACAAGTTAGCAGTGGTTGCCTGCATACTTACACCTTGATATAAGTTCACTCTGAGCCATAAGCTTAAAGTACAGCTATGTGAAGTAGTATTAAGCCCAATTTATTATTGGGGCTTACCAATCATTAGATGTGGTGGCTGCATTAGTTTTCTTTTTGGCTTCCCCACATTTTCACCTGGTAACCCATCTAGTAAGATTCCTGTATTAAAGAGCCTACACTCTGGACAGCAAAATAGTGCTAAACAAATTAAGGCCCCTTAGACATTTCCTGATAAAAGTGGAATTTCAAAAAGGGGGACACAATTTGTTAGCAAGACTTAAGGGCATCCTCTGGTTAATATTAGGGAACAAATGCAAGTTTAAAAATGGCTTATTATACAGGATTTATATAGCGCCAACAGTTTGCTCAGCACTTTACAATATAAAGGGAGACAATACAGCAACAATACAGTTCAATACAAGAGGGATAGGAGGGCCCTGCTCCTTGGAGCTTACAATCTAGGAGATAGTTTTCCCATTTAGAACACAGAGGACTTAAGCAACAGTCATGCAATTTCTGATTTCACTCAAATTCAGTTTACAACCCTCAAGAAAACTGTGGCAAATCAGGATATAAAAACAATCCATCATGTCTATCAGCCGAAAGATGGTGATTTTTAAATCATCATTTAAGCCACGCAGGGGTGGCCAACCTGCGGCTCTCCAGCTGCTGCAGGACTACAAGTTCCATCATGCCTCTGCAAGCCAGTAACTTCCCATCTTTGCAATGCCTCATGGGAAATGTAGTTCCACAACAGCTGGAGAGCCACAGGTTAGCCACTAGTGATTGATCCATACAAGCATTAATATACTTACATGCCCCCCAAACCAAGCCATCCATCTGAATACTTCTGACACAGTCTTCTAATTTTGCCATGTCAGTTTCATCATCCCATGGTTTCACATCAAGCAGGATTGAAGATTTGGCGATTAGTGCAGGCTCTACAACACAGAAGATTGACAGTTAAAGTTAACTTCTATCAGTTGTCTGGAGGTCATTAGGCATGTCTGTTAAACAATGGGCTGGATTTTTAAGTGTTGATCTTTAAAGTCATAAGGTCACATGTTTTTAAGCATGACAATAGTGCTTAGAAGTTAACCACCTAGAAGGAACCCTACCCATAAAGCTCATACTAAGTAAAATAAAAGGGGGACATCCCTCCCTAGCCAGATTACATTACTTTACATAGTCTGGAATAAACTACCAACCTCCCTCGTGTGATCTGCAGCAAAAAAAAGATCAGATGGTCTAGCTTCCAGAATCATCCTAGGAGTCTGATACCTTAGACTAGTTCATGCTGTGGTTCAGCCAGACCTTGACTTGTGAAGTTGCAGTGAAGCACAGCTGCCTCCACACAATGTGTAAAGTATATTAAGGCTATATTTACACACTGAAGGCCCCAGAATGCACTGATACATGGATAGCACAATCACACCAACATTATACAGTAGAGGGTAATGAACCACATGCGTAGTAGAGTGCAACATTGCTAAAGTCACGTGTGGGATGGATTTGTGGCAACCTATGTTAACATGCAACATAGTGCAACAGATTGCTCATTATTATACAGTATTTATAAAGCGCCAATAGTTCGCTCAGCGCTGTACATTACAAAGGGGGACAGAACAATACCAATACAATGCAAAACATGAAGGGATCGAGGGCCCTGCTCTTTCGAGCTTACAATCTAGGAGGGAGGGGATAGTGGCACAGGAGGAGATAGCTGTGGGGGATGGAGTGGTAGGAAGAGTGGAGGAGGTCGGCAAGTTAGCAGGGGGTGGGTTAGGCTTCCCTGAAGAGATGGGTTTTCAGGGTGCGCCTAAAGGAGAAGAGAGTAGGTGATAGTCTGATGGGTTGGGGCAGGGAGTTCCAGAGGATGGGTGACACCCTGGAGAAGTCCTGGAGGGGGGGGGGCATGGGAGGAGGAGACCAGGGAACTAGAGAGAAGGAGGTCTTGTGAGGAGCGGAGTGTGCGTGCTGGGCGGTACTTGGATATTAGGTCAGTGATGTAGTTCGGGGCAGTATGGTGGACAGCTTTGTACGTCAGCATTAGGATTTTGAATTTGATCCGTTGCGCAATCGGAAGCCAGTGGAGGGATTGGCAGAGGGGGGTGGCGGAGACAGAGCGGTTGGAAAGGTGAATGAGTCTGGCAGCCGTATTCAGGATGGACTGAAGCAGGGATAGCCAGCGGCGAGGCAGGCCAGTGAGGAGGGAGTTGCAGTAGTCGAGTCGTGATATGATGAGGGAGTGGATGAGCTGTTTAGTGGTTTCTGGGGTTAGGAACGTGCGGATTTTGGCGATGTTGCGGAGGTGGAGTCTGCACGAGTTTGTTAAAGATTGGACTTGGGGTTGAAAGGATAGGTTGGAGTCCAGGATTACACCAAGTACTCTGGCCTGCAGGGCGGATTTGATGGTAGCGTTGTTGGATGTGACGGAGAAATCAATGGGGGGTGGTGTCCGGGCTGGGGGGAAAACAAATGTGCAAACCCCCCCCCCCCCCCAAAGAAAAACTCCACTAGGATTCCTGTTGATTAGACATTGCTGAACTCCTGGATAAAAAATGTTTGTGCCAGAGAGTGCCCCCTTCAGATGGGCTGAGAGGAAATCTCTGCTGAACACTTTTCTCTGCCACAGGAGGAATACTGGAACTGTGACATGGCCACACAATTCCAGACCAGTATCTGTGGACATAAGCATGTTGTGACTACAAAGTTACAACTCCCAAGGTTTCTAAATCACTCACTTTTTGATTTCTTTGATTCATATTGTGCCAGGCGCTCCTCTCTGATTCTCTGTGCCTCTTCGCTTTCCTGTGGAAGAAGAAATATTACTGAAACAGGATGGCCACATCAATGCTCACAACTTTCTGCTCATCAGACTGGTGTCAGAATAGAATGTGTACATCACATCTCAGCCGAAAGATGGTGTTTGAATTCATCACATCACCAGATTACAACACAGCACTAAACTGTTTGGAAAAAAAAAAAAAAAAAAATCAAGTTACATCTTCCTAGCTCTGAACCTACCTTGAATGAGACTCACGGGCATCAAAACTGCTGTAGGTACAAGTGCAGGCACCACATATCTGCAGCAGTCTCCCAAACCCTCCTGTAGCCAGGGCGACCGACTGTTCCAGGTCTTGATGCAGCTTACTGTTAAGACTCTACTGGCCCATCCCCATAATGGGTAACCTCACTGGCAAACACAATTGCAGGTGGCAAAAAGCTTCACCACATCAAGAAAGTCAAAGTTTTGCACATCAGAACAGTAGGCTGCTGCAAAATATGCAGGTATTACTCAGTGCCTCACTTTATAGCTTCAGCGGTTTTTGTTCCCAAGGCAGAGCATGATTATCATTGATTGGCTAGGCAGTGGAACAAGACTAAAGTATAGGGCTAGTAACTTGGAGACAGACATTCATAGGTGCTCCAGATAAAAGGGCTGTTGTAGTAAAAGTACAACCACCCCAGAGTTTGCATAACCTTCCCAACATGCTCCATTAACCATGTATTGTTTGTTGCTACACAGCAGCCGACACTATTAAGCTGATTATTGCAAATTTACCTCTTCATCATCTGAGCCAAACAAGTCAATGTCATCGTCATCATCATCTTCTTTAGCCTCCTTAGGTGCACTGTTTGTTGTGTCTTCAATATTGACTGGACCGTATTTTCCCAAGGGTTTCTTTACTCCAGGCAAACTATGAGCAGATATTCATAGTCAATATAAGAATGCAAACTTTCAATTCTAGCCTGCAGTCAAGAAATTCATGCACTAGGCCAGGGGTAGGCAACCTGCGGCTCTCCAGCTGTTGTAGGACTACAAGTTCCATCATGCCTCTGCGAGTCATAGCTGTAACTGTCAGTTTTGTAATGTTGCAATGCCTCATGGGAAATGTAGTTCCACAACAGCTGGAGAGCCGCAGGTTGCCTACCCCTGCACTAGGCCTTTTCAAGTCTTCAGAGCACCTTAAATGTTTAAGTTAGAACTCATCTTAGAAGCTGGGAAAGGGCCACACAGCACTGCATTACACATCTGTTCCCGCATGAGGGAGGCAGGCAGCTTCATTACTCACCTGGCTTTTTGCTTCTCATATGACTTGATGTGGTTATACCAACGTAAAGCATGGAAAAGCTCAGCAGGGGGGGCTCCTGAGAGCGCCTCAAATACTGCAAAATCAGCTTGGGAGGGAACATACCTAAAGGAGAAAAATAAACACCATTTATACCAGTACACATACACAATGCACAACAGTCAATGTGCTAGCCTGCCAAACCCAACACTAACTGCGCACAACTGCAACCACAGGCTTGAAGGACATATCTCCTGCGCATAAACACACCCCATCAAAATCTATAGGATGTAAATGTTCAGTCAGGCAGGCACCGGATATTGTTAATTACTGGTTTGTACATTGGAGGTACATGCAAAATGGCACTTCATTATACACATTTTGGTAAACATGCATATTACCACAACACTAGAGCCAGTTCACACTTGAGCACCATGCCCTACAATGTACCTGCATTTCTGCACTGCAGACCTGAAGTGAAAAAATTGTGCAAACTGCATTTTGCAGTGCAAGTGTGGACATGCAATTCAAGATGAATGGCACCACAGCGCAACATGGCAAAGGAAGTGCATTAAAAGGTTAGGGGTCCTTCTCAATTAAAAATGTATCCATGCATTCCAGTGTCCAATAGATTTAAAGCTGTTTGGAAAGGATTTTTTTTTTTTTTTTTTTTTTTTTTTTTTTACACACACCATACTTGTAAGCTGTATACAACTCTGAGTCTGTTAGAGTGAGCACCCCTCCCATATGTTGGGCATGTGCCCCACAGTACTGCAGTAAAATGCTATTCTTCATTAACATGCAGCGTGCCCTCCCCCCACTGCACAAACCAAACTCAGCTGCGACAGGGAGAGAAGAAAGCACATGGGCAGGCTTTGAACATGTACTAGAGGCACACTTCCTAACATAGCATATCCTAGGTAGGATGGGGTGGGTCACACTAGTTTTAATGAGTGACCCAGTAAGCTGGTTGTGGCATGGAAGGGAAAACAAATTAAAGTCATACAGGGTCATTTGAGGGCATTTGTGTGTCCAATGATTTTCATATAAACAAGGGTGGTAAAAAACCCTGTAGGCCAATTCCCCCCTCAATTTTGGTAATCAAGACCATCAATAATCTGTTGCTCTCATTGCTCAGCCATTTGTCTCATGTGGTTGACTTCAGATTCAAACGGGAAACAGGAATCAATCATTTTTTAGCATTGTGTATGGCCACCATACCATCAAATGTGTAGTGCAAAGGCCTGCCTGTTTTGATTGTCTAGTACAGTCATTCTATTAAAAGAATTTGCAAATCTAAAATGATTATATACATTACAATTCTACCAATTTTAGATTTATCAAAACTATAGCATAAGGACCTACCAGGGGCGGACTGACCATTTGAGCACTCGGGCACTGCCCAAGGGCCCGGGGTCAGTAGGGGGCCTCATGAGATGCCCCTGGTACCTTTTTATAGGCTTTTTTGGGTGTGGGGGAGGACACAGGGGCCCCATGATCCCCTATTGCCCGGGGGCCCCATGAGTTGTCAGTCCGCCCCTGAGACCTACCCAATATGTATCCAAACTGGTACAGATTGTAAAGCTAGCCAAAGATAAAATTCATTAAGTTTAGCAGAAACCAAATGACCTTTGATCCATGTGTGGTCACCCCCACTCAACAGATGTCAATCATCAATTGACTTGTGTGGAACATGAATTTTTTTAAGTTCATCCATCAGCAGCTGCTGATTGGTGTATTCTGACAGCAGAGAGTCCTGACACATTACACGTCTCAGCAGGGGGGATTCCTCCATTCACCTCAAATTGTGTGGCTGGAGGAATCTTTCATTCCCCTGGCTGAACAAAAAAATAAATCTACAGTCAGCATAACTGGTGCGGTGAGCTTATAAGGAGGCTATACAGGACTGTACAGTCTATGGCCAGTTTTAAGCCAGCTACAGATGGTTTGAATCTATTTGAACCATGTATGGGCAAGGCCGAATGTACCCAAGTTCATTGATGAACTTTGATTGAACCAGCCTGTCAGATTTAACATGCACATATTGCTAGTAGCCATTATAGCTGCTAGCAGTAATCACTGTTCTGGTGGGGGGGGGGGAAGCTGTCCCTGCCAGGAGACCACCACAATGGCTCCACAGGAGGGATCCCCCATCAACTATGCTCATGGGTTGCAGGAAAGAAAAATGGCTCAATCTATGGCAGGCTTTAGATCTGACTAGGACCCAATTACTCTAATACACACTGCCAATCCCTCCACTGGCTTCCACTTGCCCAACAAATAAAACTCAAATACTAAACGTACAAAGCCATCCACAACTCTTCCCCCAGCTACATCACCAACCTGGTCTCAAAATATCAACCAAACCGCTCTCATCGATCCTCCCAAGACCTTCTGTCTAGTTCCCGTGTAACCTCCTCCCATGCTCGCCTCCAGGACTTCTCCCATCCTATGGAACTCCCTACCCCAATCTGTCAGACTACTTCTAATCTATCCACCTTTAGACAATCCCTGAAACCCTTCTCTCTAAAGAAGCCTATCCTAACTAGTCACCTGCTTTTTATTTCCTCCATCAGCTCATCCTCCATAGCTATTACCTTTTGTATCACGCAACCCTTCCTCTTAAATTGTAAGCTCTGACGAGCAGGGCCCTCTGTTTCCTCTTGTACAAAATTGTATTGTAACTAATGTCTACCTTCATTTTATAAAGCGCTGTGCAAACTGATGGTGCTATAGAAATCCTGTGTAATACTACACTTTATTTCCGATATATAATACATTCACATCAGTCCTTAACCCTCAAGGGGTGTACATTCTAAGGTCCCCAACTTAAATTCATACATACACATATTAGGGCCAATTTAGACAGGATCCAATTAACCTATTAGCATGTCTGGAGTGTGGGCGGAAACCCACACAGGCACAGGGAGAACATGCAAACGCCAGGCAGGTGGTGCCATGGTTGGGATTCACACCAACAACCCTTGTACTGCCAGACGAATCTGTTAACCATTTAGCCACTGTGCTGCCCACTTCAATACCAAGAGCACCTGTGGGGCCCCTTCACACACGTGATCCAAACAGGTCCATCTGTCAGTTTTTCAGGCGAGCCTGATCTTAAGGTCCATGTACTCCTACGGACCAGTAGGGGTAAACTAACTATAGACCACCTCTGGGTCTGATCAGACTCACCTGGTTTGGCCTGACCAGATCAGAGGCAGCCAAATGTAAACAGGCAGAGCCCATCTGCACCCAGCCGCCCCTAGATCAGAGGAGTCCTGTGTGTACGCTCTGCAGAAGAGTGAACACGAACCTGTCATGCACCTGCTCAGACAGATCTCCTGATCGGAACAGAAGGTGCCCATATGAAAGGGCTTTTGGAGGCCAATATGCATCCATGCCAACTATCTCCCTACAGAGCAGCTCCTCCAGCCCCATTCACACCTGTGTATTCCAAGAACAGGCATCATACGTGTGTTGCATATAGGGTGACCTACCCTATGCCATTATACACAAAAAAACGCACATTAAAGGGAATAGGTGTGCACAAGGCCTAAAGGTGCAAGTCAATCATGTCCATGGTCAGAGAAGGTGATGTCCTTCGTTCAGCCATTGCAGCCCCCATGCAGTGTGTGGAGGAAGAGGTGTCCAAGACTGAGGCCTGTACAGTACAATGCGGCCTCCTCCTACCTCAGGCCTCCCGCCACGTGTCTCCTCAGGAAGCGGCTACAGACATGGTCGGGCTGTCTACTCCCTGTATCCGGGCCTACACCAGCCTGACCCCCCGGGTGTAATAACACTCCGCACACACCGAGCCCACCGTACAAGAAGCACTCCTGCCCACATAACACACAGCGAGCCGCCATGACTGGAGATATTTACTTCTCTCACTGACCCCTCGATGTAGCTCTTGTCAGCAAGGAACTCATTCAGCACCTTGAGGCCGGCGGTAGATCTGAGGTCTCCGAAACCCATTGCTGCACCGCTCACTCTACACCCGCGTGGAAGAAAGAGGCCCCCGACCCGCACCCCATTGCTTTTATACTCATGACGTCTCTCCAGACACGGCCTTCAGGGCGGGGCTCGGTGTTAAAGTCAGGGAATAGAGCTGAGAGGAGCCATCTTTGTTAAGGGATAGCCTTCTTCTTCTAACTTCTATACTTGTTGTTCACACGTAACGGTCCATGTGTAACTGGTGTGGAAACGCGCACAGAACATTGTCTATGTAGTCTGTAGGTGCTCAGTCATTGGCCGTAATTATCCGGAGATTGTCGAAGTTTTTCCGAAAAGAACCGAAAGACTGGAGCAGCTTCTGATTGGTCTAGACCCGCTTTCCGAAGATTGCCGAATCCTCCATATTGGTTTACAAGTGGGGACAGGGGACGCTGTTGTGGTCTAGAAGGCCAAATACCCGAGGAGTCCTGAAAGGACGACTGTGGGGTGAGTGAGGAGCGGGAGGGGGGTCGTGTCCTTCCCCCGGGCGGTGTGTGGCGGGAGAGGCCGGGCTGTGTGTGGCCGGGGTGAGGGGTGACTCTCGTGTCCTTGACAGAAGACGTGTGAATACCGACTGACCCCGAAGACGCACACAGCTCCCTGCTGTGCACACTGATCCATTATTAGTAGTAATCCCCGGGAGGGCTCCTCTGACCTCTATACGTGTACCGCGCCGGTAATCTGTACACTGGCCATTACTGAACACATAGATACCTGACCCCTCCACACCTGCAAGTAACACATATGGAAACCTGATACTATGGGGCTCAGTCACGTGACCCTTGCACTGGAGGTTATCTGCTAAAACGGGAAAGATCAACTCTGCACCAGGGGTGGACTGACAACTCATGGGGCCCCCGGGCAATAGGGGATCATGGGGCCCCTGTGTCCTTGCCCAAACTCAAAAAAGCCTATGAAAAAGGTACCAGGGGCATCTTATCGGGCCCCCCTACTGACTCCGGTCCCTCGTTTCCAAATGGTCAGTCCGCCCCTGCTCTGCGCACAAACCAATCAGCTTCCAGGTTTATTATCAAAGCTTAGAGTGGCCCCAAGGCTTTTGTTTTACCTTCATGAAGCTAAAACACCTTCTCTGTGCAGCCCCCCCATCCCTAATATTCACCTGAGCCCCCCTCCAGCATTGTGCACTGGAGTCTCGCTATCCCAGGACTTCCTCTCCTCTTTGGCTGAGACAGAAGCAGGAGCCATTGGCTCCCACTGTTGTCAATCACAGAAGAGAGAAGGGGTAGGGCCAAGCTATGGCCACACAGGGCAGCAGGGTTCCCCAATAGCAAGCTGCTTGCTGTGGGGGCACCTGGCAGGAGGGAGGAGCCAGGAGCTGGGGGGGACCGGACAAGAGAAGGATCTGGACTGCTCTGTGCAGAAGCACTGCACACAGCAGGTAAGTATAGACATATTTATTGTTTCTTTTTTTTTTAACCACTTACTGACCAGGCCATTTTTTGCGATACACTGCTGCGTTATATTAACTGACAATTGAGCGGTCATGCAATGTTGCACCCAAATGAAGTTTATACCCTTTTGTTCCCACAAATGGAGCTTTTTTGTAGTGGTATTCAGTCGCCTGTGCGGTTTTTATTTTTTGCGCTATAAACAAAAAAAGACAGACAATTTTGAGAAAAAAACAATATTTTTGACTTTTTGCTATTAAACTTGTTCAGAAAAAATTAATAAAATAAAATTTAGGCCAAAATGTATTCTGCTACATGTCTTTGCTAAAAAAAAATCCAATACGTGTAAATTAACTGATTGACATGCAAGTTATAGTGTCTACAAATGGTGGTATATATACTGGAATTTTTTTTTTATATATACTAGTAATGGCAGGGATCAGTGACTTATAGCGGGACTGCAGCGGGCATTCTGACAATGGGTGGGAACTAACTGCCACTGACATCCCAATGACACTAATACAGTGATCAGTGCTAATAAAAAGCACTGACACTGTACTAATGACACTGGGCAGGAAGGGGTTAACATCTGGGGGCGATCAAAGGGTTAACTGTGCTGTTTGATTTGTGTGTGTTTTACTTGGGAAACATACTGCTGCGTATTTCTCTGTGCAGAGAAATACACAGTATGTTTCTGCTGGCAGGAGAGAGTCCTTTGTTTACACACAGGTCTCTTCCGTCAGCCGAGATCCGGTGATTGACATCTGTAGCCGCCACTGGTGGCGCAGGTAGGGCAGCGTGCGTGCACTCCCCCACCCGGAAATGTGGATTATACGTGATTTTGCACAGCCCTGCTGCCCTGTAGCATTATTTCTGCTATAGGGCTGCGGGCAACTGGTTAACTAAACAAGCTGAAGTTAGAAGTTGATTGGCTACCATGAACAGCTGCACCAGATGCTGAGTGCTCCAGTTTCAGTAAATCTCCCAAAGGACCCACAGATGTGCAGGTTCTACGCACCAGTGCATATAAACACGAATACTTTGATGCATATTTTACACAGGATCTTCAGCTAGAAGAACCTGCGTTCCTTGCAGAAAATACATATTAGCCTTAAGAGTGCATTCACACTTGTGAACTCACCCTGCCTGCGAATAGATGTAAGAGCCCCCGCAGGGGTTCCTGTGATTAGTCCCTCATGGAGGAGGTTTACCTTAATGCAGAGAATGCAGTAAAGTGATATTACAAGTTCACATTAAAAAACAAACAAACGTGATATCTGCTCAATGTATTGGTTTTGCACAAAGCAGCTCCAATCCTGCCATTCTTGGGTCCCCTTCTGGCGCCCCCCCTGCTGCTTGCCCCCAGAGCAAGCTGCTTGCTCTGGGGCACTCGTGCGTGCTCACTCCTGAGCCACCTCTGTGTGTCTATAAGATATGCAGAGCGTGGCTCAGCCCTGCCCCCTCCTCACTTGCTCTGATTGACAGCAGTGGAGCCAATGGCTCCTCCTGCTGTGTCTCAGCCAATAAGGAGGGAGAGACCCAGGAGAGCCAATGCTCTTGTTCACATTGCTGGATTGAGATCGGGCTTAGGCAAGTATTAGGGGAGGCTGAGGGGGAAGCTGAACACTGAAGGTTTTTTTACCTTCGTGCATAGAATGCACGAAGGTAAAAAAAAAACCTTCAGCCTTTACAACCGCTTTAAGGTAGAAAACATTTGAACTTTAGTATAAAACTTAAAGCAAAATAAAAACAAAAAATAATCACATTGTACACTGACTATACCCACCCTTTCCACATAAATGAAAAGCCCTCTATGAATGGAGGAAGGGCAGATAATTGAAAAATGCACCTCCTCCATTCAGAGATCTCTTTTCATTGTTAAAGCTATAGCAGAGCTTCTATGAATGGAGGAGGGAGATGGATAGGGAGGGCATAGTCAACACTCTTGATGAGTGCCTGAGATAGGTCTAGCTCGCAGAAGTGACTTCGAGTACAACTTTGCATTGTAACGATGCAGCTTTGGCCAATTGGCACATTACAGTGTGAAACAGCAGAAGATGGACTGGGAGTCTATTATCAGGTTAAAAATACTTTGAAGTCGAATCATGTTGCAGCCAAAGTTGCATAGATAGGACAAAGGTACAACTCCTTGTGACTAACATTGCAGTCTATGGCACTCAAGTCGTACCAGATATGCAGAAAATTAGCGCAGGAACTTTTTTTTTTTATAAAGCACCCATTGAAATAAATGTGTTGTGGCTTGTCGTGCAACTGCAGTGTGAACCGGGGCTGAGACAGAAGCCAGCAGCACGACACTTCACATTGAATGTTAAACCCCTGAACTAAGTTGTGCAACTTCTGGCATGTTTGTAAACCCGTAAATATCATTGCAACTGCATAGTGTATCCAATTGAAATAAACCTTGCAGCGGTAAATGCTAATAGATATCTCCTGAGGTTTTTTTTTTTTATTACTGTAAAGGGAAAACTGGCCCAAAATGGTAAATATAAAAATCATCTTAAACTGTCGCTGTATATTTTTTTGCATTACCACCCCCACCAGAAAAACCCAAAATGTATTCTCCTATTGGTGTCCACGGCAATACCTCATACACTATATTACCGAAAGTACTGGGATACCCCTCCAAATCATTGGATTCGGGTAACCAATCACTTCCACAGCCTCATGTGGTGAGAGTATGTAGGCAGTTCCTGGAGGATGAAGGAATTGATCCCATTGAATGACCCCCCACGCTCACTTGAGCTAAATCCAATAGAACATCTCTGGGATGTCATGTTTCAGTCATCCCCGACAACGTCAAGCTGCACCTCAGACTGTCCAGGAGCTCAGTGATGCCGTGGTCCAGATCTGGGAGGAAATACACCAAGACACCATCAGTCATCTCATTAGGAGCATGCCGCGACCTTGTCAGGCACACATACAAGCACGTGGGGGTCATACAAACTTCTGAGTACCATTTTGAGTTGCTGCAATGAAATTACAGCAGAATGGACTAGTGTGCTGCATCATTTTTTCACTCTGATTTTCAGGGTGTCTTTGAATTTAGCCCTCTGTAGGTCCATCATTTTCATCAAATGATGGGGCATCCTTATATTCCTAATATATTACCCAGTCCATCTCAGTATAGATATGCAGCATGATATTTTTTCCCTATGGAGATCTGATGTGTTTTCAAAGTGTTCCTTTAATTTTTTTGAGCAGTGTATATATTTTGTCTTTTAATATTGGTGCTGGTGGCATCTTATGGCAATTCTTGCAAAATAAAATAAATTTAGCAGTTTCATGTTTTGCTGATTTAATATTTTCTACTGTATTTAAACATTTTTATTTATTTAGTGTGTGTGTGTGTGGCAGGTGCAAGTAGCTGGTGTTGCCTAGGGTGCAAAAAAGTCTAGCACTGGTCCTGCCTAGGCATGCAGACTGCTTCTACAAACATTTGTGGAAGAATGGGTCGCTCTCAGGAGCTCAGTGAATCCAAGCATGGTACCGTGATAGGTTGACACTTGTGCGATAAGTCCATCTGGGACATTCCTTGCTACTAAATATTCCACG